ACTCTTTCCACTGCTTTCCTTTCCCTGGCCTTTCAAGTTACTTACTCTGATTTTGTTCCATTTTACGTATTTTTGCGAGCTGCTTCAATACATTGTTTTTGGACTGGTGTACAGACAGGGAAATCAAGTCCATGTCGCTCGGGGTATTAAAAAGGCAGCATGCTTCATGAGAGCATTCAGTTTGGTTAAAACGAAACAGAACAATAACAGCAGTAACAAAAATAACTGAAGCTGTCACATTGTTTTTTCCTCCATGATCATGGCTGTGATGGGATCTGATCCAGCAGAGGTGAGGTGGGGGGGAGGTGGAAGGCCACTGTCCTCTTCCTCTGTCCTTGGGGCTGACTCTGCAAAACCTCACTCGGTGGTTCTGATGCGGCCGCATCGCTATCACCTGGGAAATGCATCACTTGTTGGAAATGCAAATTCTCAAGCTCCATTCTGGACCTCCTGACAAGACTGGCCACCATATGCAGGGCCCAGGGCAAAATGAACATGCGGGGCCCTAAGATTTAAAAAAATGACTAGAATTTCAAGTTGGTGACAGCAGATCACTAAGCCAAATGGGTGCCCCTTCTGAGTACAGGGTTCAGCCCATGAAGCTGGCTTGGCCGATTGAAAGGGAACCTCTGGGGGCAGGGCTGTAAGAGCCCTCCAGGCGATTTTGATGCTTGGGGAAGTTTGAGAACCCCAGATACCAAACCTACCTGCCTTCCCTCAACCCACAGATGTGACCGTGGGCTATGGATCTAGTAAGAGTCAAATCAGGAGGGAAACCACAGAGAGTGGCCAAAACCTCAGCCCTGGCCGGCAGCGGGGGTCAGTGTGGTGGTCCCGACCTTGAGGTGGCTGGCGCCACAGCTGGGCAGAGGAGACTGAGTGTGCCCAATCCCGCCGGCTCCGGTCTGCAGGATCCGGATAACTGGACGTCGTTTGGTGACGGATCGGAACGCGTTAAGGGGAGGGGGGGGAGGGGGGGCAGGAGGGGCCAACCTGCCTTTCTCTGCTCTTCTGTGTCACTCTCCTAAGTCAAGCCACCAAAGTCACCACAGCTGCGGCCCCAATCAGGGGAGAAACTGCAGGAGGTGGCTAGAGCTAATCCCTGGAGGTAGAGGTGAATGAAGCAGACACAGACCACGCACCTCCTCAGGGTGGCTGGGGTCACAGCCAGGGAAACGGGCAGGTGGGGGCACCCCATGAGAGGTGATACCTCTTTTCCCAGCCAGCGTACTTGCCCGTGTGGCAGCGGATACTGACTGAGTGCCCACGGCAAACAGCTTGTGGTATACACACTCATGTGAAGCAACCCCTCGGCCTGAGAGAAGCACAAAAGTTGCTATTTATATAGAGTCCGTTATGTGGCAGAAATTGTACTAAGCTACTGTTAACAACTCTCCTTGCTTCTGATCGCAAGTCTAGGGACGAGCCAAGGAAATGAGGAGATGTCAAAATTACATGTCTTCCTAGCAGTACCGGCATTAGGGGTCGAGACTCCTAAAACTTATTTCATAAATACTATTCAAAATGATTAAAAATCAAGAGTAAAATGCTTGCTTTATGCTTAGAGCTGGTGGCCCTTTTATATGTTTAAAGTATTTCCTATTTATCATTTTATTTTCTCGGCAGAGGTCAATAAGATGGTGGCCAAATGTGCCTAAGAACCCATGCCCAAGAACTGTCTTTCCACACGACAGCCCACCAATTAATAAACAAAATAAACAAAATAAAACTCCTCAGAACTCTCACTATAACACTGGCAGTTCAGAGTTTTAAAACATTTTAGTGTCATTCCATCGCTTTATCATTAAATCGATTGGAAACAAATCCAGGACCCTCCCTCTGGAAAATGAGACAAGCAGCCACCGACGTCTTCTCTAAGATTTGCCTCTAAAATGGTTCTACTCTAGCAAGACAATTTGA